GTAATTTCCTTTCTCTTTTCAATGTTCAGATCCAAACTTCTAATTTCAAATTTTATCTACTGATTGCAGTTGGTCCTGAATAATTTCATTTAAAGTATTAGCAGAACACACTATTAAGCAAAGGCAGCCAGATAGCTGGAGAGATTAACCATTAAACTCATCATAAAAAGCAATGAACTACCCCCCAGAATTGGGTAATCACTACATTCAATAGGCCAAAACATTGACTCATCATTTAAGTATTATTTCAGAAGGCCACATTTTAAGTATAAAGAAATACAATGTTTCACTGCTTCTATTTCTGAAATGTTTGCAAATATCTTACATACAAGTCAATCTTGTCACGAAATGTCAGATTTATGTAATTATTTTAATGACTAATTTTACCAAGGAATGGCTCGGTCAATCTAGTATTAAATAACAGAAATTACTGCATGTCAAGCTCTGATTTTCCTTAAAACACATGTGAGCACTAAACGTTACAAAAAGACAATCATTGTAACATTGAAGGAGAAAAGACTTTTGCCTATTATTTCAGGAACAAAGATTTTTTTGTTTTGTTTTGTTTTTAAGGGGCATAACACTGGGTTACAACAGCCCATACAATAATTTCCTACTGTAAAGTTTTACTTTAGCGTAATAGTACCCAGCCGTGTGTCTTAGTAGCAGTGCCTGGGGGTAACAGGAAGCAATCTTGGTGCTTACCCACTTGGTGCATGTGTGCAAAAGTGTCAAACTGGAATTTCTATTCACATAGCACTCCGTCTAACAGGTTTTGCATATGTTTACCACATCACTCTTATGTGGGTGTGACTCACAGTAGCTACCTCTGGAGAAAGCAAAACACCCATCTGTGTATTCACCCACTTGACAGACGAACAGCAAGGTGTGTACAAGAGATCCAAAGCAGCAACAGGTGAGTTTTACCCACGAAATGCTTTACTGCTAAATTTGTATGCATTTATGGTTTTTAAACAAAGTTTTCTTTTGATTTTTCTGGTAGAAGTAGCGCAGTTCAGTACAATGGCACATGAAAAACCAGATTTGCAAGTTGTGGAAGAGGTTGAAAGTGAATCATCAGATCATTCATGCATAGATGCTGAAGATGATAATGACTTTGATGTTGGCCATGTGAGCCAAAGTTCCTGTGACAGTGAAATGGAGCAAGAATTGACTGATACAGACACAGGGAATGCAGACCTCTGTGATTCAAACGATGAAGAAAATAGCAATGTGAGTACATATTTGACTGGTAGAAATGGTACAAAATGGTCACGCAACCAAATGGAACAATCCAATGTTAGAATTCGGTCTGAAAATATAGTGAGGATCTCGGCAGGGGTGAAACCTATTGGACAGAACGCCACTGCTGCCATTCAATGTTGGAAATTGTTTATAACAGATGAAATGCTACAAAATGTTGTGAAATACACAAATGCTGAAATACAAGTAAAACGTTCTGTATGCACCAATAGCCATACTCAAAAATGTATTTATTATGACACCTCACTAGCTGAGCTGAAAGCATTTATTGGTCTGCTGTACTTAGCAGGGCTTTCTCATGGTAGTCGCAGGAATGTAAAAGACTTATGGAAAAGCGATGGATGCGGGCTTGAGGTTTGTAGGATAACAATGACACTGAGGAGATTTGGTTTCCTTCAAAATTGCCTGAGGTTTGATGACAAAACCACTCGCCAAGAAAGAAAAAGAACTGATAATCTTGCTGCTATCCGCTTGTGGTTTGAGAGATTTGTGGGTAATTGTCAAGCAATTTATACACCATCTGAATACATGACTATTGATGAATATCTTGCAGCATTTCATGGTCGCTGTAGCTTCAGGCAGTTTATACCCAAAAAACCTTCAAAATATGGCATAAAAATTTATGCCCTTGTAGATTCGAAGACTTATTATGCTTTCAATTTAGAAATTTATCCTGGAACTCAGCCACCAGGTCCTCATTCATATAGTAATAAACCCAATGATGTTGTGGACAGACTTGTTGCCCCCATCTCCCAAACTAATCGGAATGTGACATTCAACAATTGGTTTACCAATTTCCAATTGATGTTACATTTGCTAACAGAGCACAAGTTGACGAGCATAGGAACTATACACAGGAACAAAGCAGAAATTCCAAATGAAATGTTGCAATTTCAAAACAGAGAATTGTATAGTACAATCTTTGGATTTCAGAAAGATATAGTATTGGCCTTGTATATGGCAAAGAAAAATAAACTGGTACTGCTGATGTCAACACTGCACTATGATGGAAATATTGATAGAGAAACCTCAACAAAACAGAAGCCTGAGATGATAACTTTCTACAACAAAACCAAAGGCGGAGTCGATGTTGTTGATGAGTTATGCAGCAACTATGATGTCACTCGAAACACAAAGCGTTGGCCAATGGTTGTGTTTTACTCAGTCCTAAACATGTGTGGCATAAATAGTTTCATAGTTTACAAAGAAAATAACAAGTGCAAAATATCACGGAGAAATTTTCTTAGAAGATTGGGACTGGAGCTCATAAGAGAACATTTACAGCAGAGGAAAAACAAAATGTTTCTGCCCAGGGAATTACGCAAAAAAATTGTGGAGCACACTGGTGAGCTGACAGGTGAACAGGCAGGCACAGCATCACAGAGACCTACTATGATAACAGGAAAACGAAAAAGATGTCAACTGTGCCCTACAGGAAAAGACAGGAAAACAAAACATATGTGCTATCAGTGTATGCGACACTTGTGTATGGAACACACAGTTTTCATATGTGAAGACTGCCTTGAGTATGACAGTTAAAGCAAAGCTTATTTTTCTGGTAGACTTTTATTTGTATTTACATGGTAATTCACAGAGGTTTTTATTTCTGATGCTATCTTTGAGGTTTTGTAAGCAAATAAACAGCTGCTATAAAAATGTCTATTCTAAGCACTCATTACATATTTAAAATTTTATTTTGATATCTTATTTTCCAGCTAAGTGCATGTTGTACTTTATTAGTAGGAAGCTCCTAACAAACCAGGAAGATAAGAGAGGTGACAAGAACGGCCTGCCACATAGTAAGGGAAAGCTAAACACATGTGCTGTCAGTGTAAGCGAGACGTGTGCATGGAGCATGCAGTTGTTATGTGTGAAGATTGCCTTGGGTGTGACTATTGAAGCAAAGATTATTTTTGTTGTAGCATTCTATTGATATTTTCATTATAGGCCATATAATGAATTTATTATTGATGTTATCTTTCACGTTTTGTGAGCAAGTACACTGCTGATGTGAAAACGATGTTTATTCTAAACATATTAATACTTCTAAAAAATTTAACTTTATTTTAGTAATATTTTATGTTCCTCCTGTTAAGTACACATTGTATAATGACCTCCTGACAACAGCGAGACCAGCAAGACGTTAAGTATGTTCTACAAAAAGGCCAAGAAAGGATAATACATGTACTGTCAGTGAGAGCATACACTTATGTTTGGAAGTGATACACTTATACACTTCATACACTTATGTGTGAAGACTGCCTTAGGTCTGATAATTTAAGATTACTGTTTTTGTAGCGTTCTATTGGTATTTTCACTGTAGTTCATGCAAGAATTTGTTATTTTTTAGACTTTATACACCAAACGACCGTTGAAACAGTTGAAATTTTTGATGCTTTTTTATAAACAATAAATATTAAAAACGCAACACTTTTATCTTTTTGATGTTTTTCCTGCTAAGTACTTGTGTAATATAACAAAACTCATAAAATCAAAGTAATAATTCATCAATAGAAATAAAGAATATAATAATGAGCCTTTATGACAAAATTGGTGTTACGGCCCTCGGGCTACGAGACAAGGCTGCAGCCAGGAGCTCCGTCTCACCCCACCCCTTCTAACGGCTTTGGGGGCCGTGGGCCTGACGCATCACGAAACCGTCAGCCCTTGGGCGGGAGCCTCGGGGAGAGATGGGCTCGGAGACTTGGGGGGACCGCAGGCTCCGGTGAGGCCGCCTCCCCCTCCCCCCGCGACTCCCAGCGCCATCCGGACGTGTCCCTCTCGCTGCCTGGCCTCGCCACCAGGCTGCCACCTCCGCCGCTGCGCAGAGCCGGGTGGCGGCCCGCCCCTGCATGTGATCGACAGGCAGCTTCAGCCAATGGCAGACGCTGTCGGCCCCGGCGGGCTGGGCAAGGGCCGCGGCTCGCGGAGGAATCTCTCTTGCCCTTTAGTCCCAGGCAAGGTGTTGCGGCCGGCGCCATTTTCTCGAGCCGCCTTGTCTCGGGTGCCGCCATGTTGGTGAGGAGAAATCACCGTTACGGCCACTGTCCAAATCCCCGCGTCGCCGCACGCCGCCCGGCCGCTCCCACGCCTCAGCCACCGGCGGCGAATAGAGACTAGAGCGGCAGCGCCGGCAGCGCGGGGCCGTTGCCCAGTGTTTGCAGTTAGAGTCCCACCTCTCTGGCGTGGTTGTTAATAGACTGGAAAGTCTGTGTCTGTGTCGCTCACTAGTAACCGTGAGTTTTTACCACTTCGTCACCTGCCGGCGGCGGCCGGGAGCAGGAGCCCGCAGGCGGCGCAGGGGTCCTCCCCGCGCCCCG